AGTTTTTATGCCCCACTTTCTTACTAATTCGCCTATCTTTTTTGAAAGAAGGCATAACAGCAAAATTTGGATATGGGAGGTCTCAGCCAGTCTACCATTGACCAAATGGTCTGTCTGAAAATTTATTCCTTGGTAGAGAGATATTATTCAGAATAAGGCCCAAACGATAATTATTTTCCAGGAATATATTTGTCAGCCGTTGTAACTCTTTAGTCAAATATTTGTTATCCTCTAGTCTCATACTTCTAATAATCATTGATTTCAAAATTCCAACCTTAGTCTTGTAACAATGGTTGGAAAGAAAATTAAGCAAGGAGCCAACATATATTGGCTTACTATAAACATCTCTTCGTAATTTACCCTTTTCTCTAGTGATGAGAACATCTATAAAAGATAAGGACAGATGACAAAATAGTCATCCATGTATCTAACCAACAATTTGGGGGTTAGTATTGCCTCTTGCTGGAAGTATTCCTCCAATCTTGCCATATAATTGTTTGCTAAGCTGGGAGACAGGCAAGATCCCATTGTTAATCCTTGTGTCTGTTCGTACAACTTAGCATCAAAGGTAAAATATGTGGTACTCATGGATAGGTTAATAAGTCTAAGATTTGGAGAACACAAAAAATGCTTGCAAAGGAAGCTGGATCCAACGGTCAGAAGTGGCCGAACATATGGTAGAAGCTGGACATGAAATAGAATGGTCTCAAACTAGTAGTTTTGCTGATTATGGCACGCCTGTGGTTAGAAGAAAGATGAGAGAGGCTAATGAAATTAAAAGCTTAGGAAATACGTTTAATGTGAGGAACTGTGGTATAAGGTTAAGTAGGAACTATTTATGCTTGATTGATAAATTGAAAGAGAGAGAGGGCGCTGAGCCGCCATCAAAAAGAAGGCGACTCAATTTGTCTGTTCAGTGATGGTTCTAATTTCCCTCACATTCGTCCAAAATGTTAGAGTAAGCTCATCAACCAAACCAGACATGTCAGATTACGTAACCCCAGTCTTGCCTTTCCTTGGGGGGTTAAACGTTAATGACCCTATACTGAAATGTTAGGACAAATTGTTTAGTAACTTGATTTTCATACTTACAAGCTAATATCTCATCATCTCAACCACACTTGTTTACGGACTTACGCAGTCTCGATAAACGCTATCCTCTTGGGTCATTAGGCCTTGAAGATCAGAACATGTGATTAAACCTTTGACAACTCTGATTCAGGAACCGTACTGCGTGTAAACGCTAACACACACACACACACACACACACACATGC